CGAACCCTCGATGAACGCAACCGTCCCTGACGCGGATTGGCACCAGCAGGAGTGCGATGTGCTCCCGGGATTGTTTTTGCAGACGTGTGTGGGTGTGCGGCAGTGCTTTGCGAGCTGGTAGGCGGAGTTGATCGCTTTGTGGGGGCTTCGGGGGCACCTCGTGTCAAAACAAAAATTTGCCCCGAATTTTGACACGTCTTCCAGAAAAATCTGACCTGGAAATTTTGACCCGAAAGAGGCGGCGTAACCTCTCGGGTCAAAAAAACCGCTCGTGTCAAAATTTCAGGTAAAAAAAAGCACAGGTGGGAACCCTACAGTTAGATGGTTCTCGTTTCTCTCGTCCTCTTCCTCCTCTTCCATCTTTGTCTCTGAATCTCACCAATAACCACCCCCAGGCAAAGCGTCGGTAGCACGAGCGAAGTTAGGTGCATCTTGGCCTTGATGGTGAAGATCAAGCGTTCTGTCATCATCAGGGGAGAAACCGCGGGCATTACAATTTATTTTTATTGTTACATGTTGCAGGTAACAGATAACGCAGGATTTTTGGGCGAGCTGTTATTATTTATACGAAGGAAGGGGAGGTCGCTACTACAACAGTGCAACTTGTTCCAACTGCAACATCACCTGTTATAACCTTGATCGACCCAAAAAGAACACTCGTCTTCCTCCAGCCTGTGACCGCAGCCCTACGTTTAGACTAGTCCTCCATCGACACGACCGAATGATGAGCGCACGGAGCGCTAACTAACGGCGAAGGAAACAATGAACTTACATCGGGACGTTGGGAAGCTTCAAGGCTTGTTGTGCTGGTGCTCGGGTGTTGAGAGTGTTAGACCGGATAGGGTTGTTGGCGAGAGGTATGTGTGACTGCCTGTGCGTGTGTTTCAGGTGTGTGTGAGAGGCCAAAGTTCCTTACAACGAGCCTCGGGATGAATATTTTTATTATTCCGCGAAATTGTTTTTGGGGTCGTCTCTCAAACCTTCGGATTTGCCACAAAATACGGTTCCCCGGCACAATCTAATCATTTTCTGGTATATACAATGGATGAAATCTGTACTCCGTCGTCTACGCGCGTGTGTGAGCAGTAGTGTTCAAGTATACAGGTAGATTTATTTTTTTGTGTTGTAGGCGGACAGGGTAGGATGAACGGATTATTTAATAACGGGTCAATTGGGTCGCCGTTGTTCGTTCTGGATATGTTGCCGCCACCAACCCATGTACAAACACTGAAAATGATGAGAAAACTCGGTTTCATCCTTGGTTGTCGATATCACCCCGATGACCGAAGTCCGCTGGCTCTTCGGGAATTTCGTCTTTTGGTCTGTTGTAAGTAAATGACCCGAGGGAGGGCCTAATAGGCTGAACGAGAAATCACACGAAAGGGTCTGCGAAAATGAAATTCCGGTTTAATCTTGGACTTTTCTCCCCCCGAAGACCGAAGTACGCTGGATCCTTACGAATTTGGTATTATTTCGGTCTATGTACATAGTACATAGTCTACATACCTAGCGGGAGAGCCCACCCGTCTCACACATCAGGGTCTGCGAAGGTCAAATCTCGGTTTCATCTTCCATTTCACCTTGTTTCATCTCGGTCTTTTCTATCACCCGAGGACCGAAGTCCGCAGGATCTTTGGAATTTGGGATTTCGTATTATTGTTACTCGTTGGCACAGCACCTCGCAACACACACACGCTCTCTGTTGTGATGATGGTTGAGCTTGTTGAACGACAAGCAGTCACACAACATACCTTCGGACAAGCTCGTTCGGAGGATGAAAGCCCACGCATGCTGCACGCTACTACGACTACTGTACTACTGCTGTATGCATACCCCTCTCCGGAAACAGTAGAAGCACATCGCTCAGAGGAAGGACGTTCCAAAAGGTTATTCCGTGGCGATGGACGTTTTGCAACCGCGTGATCTGACGACGCACCCTTTCTCAACGGAAAAAACGCACAGCAGCAGTAGACTAGTAGTACAAAGGGTAATAGTGGGAATATCAACGACTCGTTGTTGTTGTTGTTGTTGTTGTTGTTGTCTTCACATTAAAAACCGTTCCGATCTCTCTCTACCCAGTACCTTCGTATGTCCGTACTGATACAACACTCGACGCGGTCGATTCCCGTGGTCGCAGGCTAACTTATACCCTAAAAAGGTACACTAGAATGAAATGGCCCCGAGGGGTCCGCAAGTCAATAGAAATCAACGACAGATATTATGGAGTCCTCCACTCCCTCTGCGCGCTATGCGAGGTATAACAACTTAGACCAGAGGAGTCACCATCACGGGCCGGAGAGAAAGAGGTACACCCCATTGGTTCAAACTT